ACTCACTCACACTCGCAGCAGTGTCCGAAGTCTGCTCAGCGAAGAGGGCACGCTTTGCGCGGCAGCTGTGCTGCAAGGCGTTTTGCCTTCCTCCCATCCTAGCCTAGTCGCCCCTAAGGGCCCTTGAGCACCAGGCTAACTACTTTCTGAGAAGAGCTTGATGCCAAAACTGACTGACTACCTACCTACTGCCTTCCAGGGTCCGGATACAGAAATAGCACATAAGCATTGCGAAGTATGACAGGCACATCATTACGAGTAACAGGCGAAGCAGCTATACCATCATCAGTCCACCACATCCGGCCTGTAGGCTCAAGCAAAACTGTACGGTAGTGTCCGCTGCTTGGGGTTTCTCCAAGATGAACAATAGCTGCTCCTAAGCGAAAGCTACGCTCACTCACTGTACCTTCTACCCAGCAGGGGAGGGAGACACTCCGTGGCAGTGCTACTGCCGTGAAGTCTTTGCTCACTGTGCGTCCTGACGTCCTGAAGCGATTCAGCTGTATCGCTACACAAGCTACTTCGGCAGTTAGGGTAGGGCTGCCCAGGGAGTAGTGCCACGCATGGATGACACTTTGCAGGGGACAGACGCCCCGGGCAGTAGGCAGGTCCGAAAGTATCCTATTTAAGAACAGCGGGCACACACCCCCACTATCCATCAAGGAACCATCAGTGAGAACTGCCCAAGTGCCTTGAAACCACCTAAGCTGACATTCCTGATGAAAGTGTCCTAGAAAATCTGCCGCGTCATGCTGTCTTCCACAGTGAGGCCATCGATTCATGTACCTGCGCCATGGTGTGCGCGACCAGATATGTGTAGGGCCCTCCTGAAGCATTAGGGCACTCAGATCTCTGCTGAGGGTGTCTTTCACCCAGACCTGAGACGGGGCATAAATTTCAGAGACCCACATACATGCAAGGATGACGGTGTTCATGTAACATTCATTATCACGGTTCCTCAAAGCAAGTCTGCAGATATGCTGAAGAGTTGCCGACGTCTCAGCTCCTGCGCGATGGTCTGTGCTAGGGCCGATCGCTGGCGACGTTCCCTGCGAAGGGTAGTCGCCACCAGCTGGAGCGACGCATTCCCCGAAAGGGATTCCATGATTGACCAGAAGCGGAACGCCTTCGGCTCCCGAAGGCCCACTGTTAGACTGAACGTAACTGTCGGGCCTGTCATGTGTTCTGCTAGTGTCCTGGTTGGGTGAAAATTGATGAGAACTCCGTCCACAATGCTGAGCACTATGGACTCGTCCAGGAGGGAGAGAACCTCCTGTATACTCAACGGAGCGATGCTGGGTACCTCGCGTAGGGCTTGTGCCTCCTTGTTCCACTGAACAAACTTGAAGTGGCCCGTGTCGGTCAGGATTTCCCTGCGGACAGCCTCCTGCATCTTGTCCTGATCTGTTTGCAGTTCGTGAACCCGCTTGCGCATCTCGTTGGCCCATGTTTGGTACAAGATGACCCTCATTGGCTGCTGTAGGCTTGCTGGCTCCTCGGCCTTCATGCGATGCCATTCGGTGCCAATCTGATGAAGGAGTGGCAGTGTTGTAAGTGGCGGAGCTGTGCCTAGAAACATGATCCACCCGGTGGACATCTGCATCCCGTTCCAAAAGTTGTCGTGCCGGATGAGCAACTGGGCCATGTGCTCCACCAGGCTGTCGTTTCCAGAAGGTCTGGAGCGTGGGTTGCCTGAGCGGCTTGTTTGCGCATTGCTCGGTTGACCCTGAAACTGTGGCCTGGTGCGTCCTCGTTGGGTCTGCTGCTGGCTCTCCGATGAGGTCTCGTGTTGTTGACCCTTGCCCTGGTCCGTGCCCTTGCCGTTGGTTTTGAGGTACTTGGGCATCGAGGGGAACTGGCTGGGGCGGGGTTGCTGCTGAGTCCCTGAGTGTCTCGGAGGGGTTTGAACCTCCATGGTAGACGTCGGAGTGAGAGCTGGCATGGCGGTCGACGGACCCAGAGCTGGCCCAAAGAAGTGCTGACCCTGAAGAGCCATGGTTTGAATGTGCTGTAATTCCGCTGCCGCTTCCATGAGCTCGTCGCGTGAAACTCCCTCCAGGTCCATCCTGCAGAGCTTGCGGGCTGGAAGGTAACCACAATGCAGTGAGAAACTTCGCTAGGAGTATTACGGTACATTCCGCAGCGTGCTTTGTCTGATGACACTTGAAGGCCTTTCCACAGTAGCGGCAGGGGGAGCACAGGATGAGTTGTCTCCTCTGACTTTGAGCTGAGCTGCGGGATTGCTCCAGCGCTGTAGTGGCCCAAGGATGGAAGGCTTTTACATGCTGAGTGATGCCACGAAAACGGATCAACCACTGGTTGCAGATGGGGCAGTATTGGCTCAATTGGGATCCCCGTGCTTTCAGGCAGCTACTTATTTTCTCCCATCCCTCATGTACACACTCCGAGATTTGACTGTCCCAGTACACAGCTGGGCTTGTCTCTGTTGGCTCAGGAGGCTGTAGTTCACTGCCATCTGGATAGAGTGCGATACATGACTTGGTGAAAATATGCACTTTTAGGTCATCCCATGAGTTGCAGGACCGATGGCAGTGCCTACATATGCATAACCCTTGCGAGGAGTGCAGCCACACGAACCTCGTTTGCGGATCCGCTCCCTGCAATTCAGCGGGCAGTGCAATCTGCATGGAGGCATCCTCCACATGTGCCTGGACCTGGCGCCTATGTCGGTGTTTTTCTGGATCCGCTTGTAGCGGTTTGTTCTCATGAGGTGCTGTGGCAGTCAGGTTCGGCTGTTCCTGCTCTGTTATCTCGCTGGTCGAAGGTGCCACTGTGTGCGCGGCCCTTTCATGCACCCTGAGTGCCCCTAGAGAACCGAAGGTCCGTTGACAGTGGCTGCACCTCAGCTCCCTTGGCGCATAGGCTCTTCTATCTTCGTCTAGGTCCTGTAAGTGATGCTCTGCAGAACCTGTGCGGAGGTTTGCATCACGTTCAGCGGAGGAGTACCGGAAGGTTTGTTGTAACACCTCCAGCCAGGGTCCAATTCCTTTTCTGCTAAGAAAGAGCTGTGATCTGGTTTGGGTACTCGGCAACTGTTGGCATAACACATACCACGGGTCCTCTACCTTAAGGCGCTGGAGGATCTCTGCGGAAGGTACATGCCAGAGGTGAGCTGGTGAGCGGGCTATCATTCTTAGTTGTCTGTTTACTGCCTGACGGATAAGAAGTGGCCCTTGCGAAGGCAGACCTACACTGTGCAGAGAGTATCTGAGTACTGAGAATACGCAGACCTTCCATAACCTGACCTTGGTGCCTAGGCTCAAGGATCTGGCCTTGAATATGTGATGCAGACGCCAGAAGCTGCCCCATGAGACATCCAGTCTGTGCCGCAGGTTTAGTAGCTCAAATCCCTTGTAGGCCAGCTTGGCGCCTAGGTAGCGGTGTGTGGCGACTATCTTGAAGGGGAGTCTACATTGACCTACCGGTATGACTAGGTGGGGCACATCCTCGATGTATTTTCTGTGCTTTGCAAGGACCGAAGGCGCGCTGGTGCCCCCTAATGCCAGCAGGATGACTGTCTTCTCCATGCTGAGCTGGAGTCCAGCTGTTTGAAGGGTAGTGACCAGCACTCCTACGGCTCTAATTGCTCTTGCAAAGCCTAGAGAGTCCTGGACCGCCCAGCTGCCGAAAAAGTCATCAGCGAAGATGTTGGTAAGGCCCTCCGGAAGAGACTGAATTTTCAACTCTGCCTGAAACATTCGGTACACTTTCCCCGTAATCAAAGCCCAAAGCAATGGGGAGAGTGAGCATCCCTGGCGGACTCCCGTTCCTAAATAGACGTCTGCCGATTCAGTGGATCTGCCCACCTGCAGGCAAGCACGTTCATGCAGATGCATCACTAAGTTGATTTCCAGTTGGTCAAACTCAGCTTCGGTCATTGCGTCGTAGAGGAAATTATGGGGCAGGCTATCAAAGGCCTTTTTGATGTCTAGGCTGATCGACAAACCTCCAACTAGCCTATGCGGCTGGCCACCTAGAAACCTTTGAGGCAAGGAGGGGGATCCGGTTGCAATGAGTTCCCTCACCTGAAGGAAGTGTGAGCATACTGACTCAAGTGCATCTGCCGTTGAGCGGCCCTTGAGATAAGCCCATTGCGGCACCTCCCGCAGATAGCTCTCTATTTTGGGCTCCACTTTGTGTGCTAGCATGATTGCTAGGATCTTGTTTCCCGGATGCAGTAGAGCGATTGGCCGTAGGTTTTTGGGCTCTCGAACGATGGGGACTTTGGGAATAAGGTGAAGCTGAACTTTATGCCAGTCCTCATGTAAAGCCGAGGCACTCAGATTCACGGCTGGTAGGAGGGCAGACACAACCTGATTTGTTGCCAGTTTCCAGAGACGGGCTGGTGCGAATCCGGCTGGCAACGCTTTGCTCGGGCTGATCTTCGCTAGAGCTGATTTCAGATCTTCAGAGGAGAAGTGAACTCCATTTATGCCAGAAGCCGGTGGGAGCTGCGTAATGTCTCGGCTGTGGTACACTCCTCTTAAAAAGGCTGCAATATGCTCCGATTCTTCCTTCCCCGCTAAGAGCGAGCCCTGGTCATTCCTGAGCTGTACTCTCATAGTTCTGGATTTAGGAGCTAGCCGTCTTACCACAGAGAAGATGGTAGAGGGAAACAGCGAGGCTTCCGCCTCCTGTAGCAATGTTTCTACCCTTTCTCGCTTGCGATCACGACAGGCCTTACGAAGTTGTTTCTGCAGCCTGGACAATTTAGTCGCCAGAAACCAACCCCTCAAGACCGAGTGAGAACCTGGCGGCTGGGATCTTAGCCTGCGCAGTGCCCAGAGCTGCCGGACTAATCCTCCCTCCTTGCGTGGAGGATTCTGCGGAGGCGGAGAAACCTCCGAGGGGCCTACATCCTTCCAGGCCTGCAGTATGACCCTGTTTAGCACTTGAGCAGGGTCGCCTTGAATGGCCTTCGGCGGAGGCATGAGCTGACACATCCTGGTTTGGAACTGCTCTTCAAGGTGTGGAAGATTTCGCAAATGCGACATAACCTCCTTGGCGGCCACGGAGGATTGTTTGGTCCGAGCCTGCTTTGGGGGCTGTGGCTTAGGCATGGATGCAAGGATGGGAAAATGTCGCATACCCTTTTCCGGTACAAAGGGAGCCCGTATTGTGCGGGCTCCTTTGGCAAGGGGGTCTCCATGCTGAGCTCTGCATAGTATGAAATCGATTTGGGTACGATGTTGACCGCCTGCATGATCGAACTGATACGTGTGGCTGTAGTTTCTCCTACCCCATGTGTTCAAGGCCACTAGGTTGTGGTGCACAATGAGCTGTTGAAATCTATGTTGGTCCTTCTGTCTAACAGCCCCTGTGATGGGAGCCCGTCCCGTACCTACATGAGGTGCCTGCTCCTGGCAGGGGGTGTTGAAGTCGCCAGCCAGAATCAGTTGGCAGCGCCAGGGCGTTCCTCTAATCAATTCACCCAGGCGAGTCCAGAGGGATTCCCTGTCCGCTTCGCACTCTGCGGTTCCCTTAGCTTCTGACCAAACATGTTGGTAGGCTCCTATGATACAAATTGCCGGAGAGGTTTCCAGCCTTACAAGAATGAGACGTCCCGGGATGGGGGCCGTGGTTCTTATGGCGGAAGGGGGAACAAGGGTCTTATGTATCATGACTAAGATGCCTGCCTTCCTGTTGTTGAGGCCAGTGTGGATCATGTGATAATGGGTCGACATCCACTCGGAGTCAAACGACCAATGTGTCTCAGTGAGGATACAGGCATGTATGGTAGTGCCAGCCTGATTGCACTCGTCTAGCCAGGTCTCTATCTCCACTAATCGGGTGGTGCTCAGTCCTCCAGTATTCCACGTGAGGATGCGCCACCTGTCTGGGAGCTGTTGAAGCGGGCCAGGTCTTCCTGGTGTTCTGATGGACCGCTGGGGACTACCGTTGGGCTCTGTCACCCTTCCGGCGCCCAAGGTCTGAGGGGTATGTAGGCGGCCACGGTATGTGGTGACTCCCTGTTGCTGGGCGCGTCTTAGTGCCCTGTGAAAGGAGCGTTTGCCAGTTTTGGTAAGTGTATCATATGTAGTTGGGCGGATGGGATGGGAATGCCATTGTTGTGTGGCATCTCCGCGAGGCTTTGCTTGTGTTGTGAAGCCTGATATGCTTTTAGCATGGTAAGCTTCAGGGGGACCCTCACGTCTGTGGCGGTGCTACTTGTTAGCAGAAAGCTGTGTGTGATCATATTGCTTAGCAACCATCCACCTCGGGACTTGGGACCCGAGCGGCTCTGCGCGTTGTGTCCAATCGGTATGTATGAAGGACCTGTTTGTTTGGAGGCATCCTCCTCTCATGAAACTGTGACAGAGGGCAACCTCCTCGGTCTGACTGAGCAAAAAGAGCCATGCAGAGGCAGGAGGCATAGTGGTGCACTGCGGTTGATGACCCTGCGTAGAGAGAACTGTTTCACTTAGGCAACCTAAGTGCTCAAGCCTGAGATCTGCCATAGTGGCTGTGCAGCAGGTATGTGCATATGCCGCTGGGCGCACGGTGGCCAACTCCGGAGGTGGACCTCCGCTGCGGCAGGGGCCACTGCTCCTGTGGTGCCCAGAGAATGAAGGCAGTCCACTTTGAGGGGGGCAAGTGGTGGGCCAGGGATGACTCTGAAGCAGATCTACCAGGGACGCCTTGCGTAGCTGAAGGTTCCTAATCACTTTCAGCGGGGCCTGTGCATTGGGACTAGGGGGCTCAGTGGTCTGTTGGGCATCTGAGGACTGGGCAGGGACACAAGCTCGAAAGGAACCCATGTACTCCAGCTCACTGCATTCAGATTCGCATTCCTCGTACGCCGAGGGCTTGTGCTGCTCGGCTGTAGCTATGGCAGCAGCCTCCTTCTCAGCCACTGCATTGCGGTGAGACTGGTTCACCTCTTTCGCCGACGATGATTCCGTGCACCTGCGGGCCGGGTCGACCACTTTCCAGGATCTGGACCTGGACCTGAGACGCTTGCGGTCCTTGTCTCCGTCCTTCTTGTCCTTCTTGGCCTTGTCCTTGTCTCTCTTGGGCTCCTTCTCGTTGCGAGCTTTGCTACGCTTCTCCCTCTTTTTGTTCTTCACCTTGTTCTTGTCCTGGTTCTTCTCCTTATGGTGCTTCTTGCCGGACTTGTGCTCCGCATCCTTCCTGAGTTCGCTTCCATCTGTCGTAGTCGCAGTCTCTGCTGGCTTGAACTGAGGCGGTGCGAAGGGGCTCTCTGCAGGGTCCACCACGCGAGGGATCTTTGTGGAAGGAGTCACCTCGTCCCCAGGCCCCTTCTGTGCTCCCTCAGATGGAGGTGGCGGCGCCGGCTCCTTCGGCGGGTTCTTCAAAGCTTTGTCCACCCATGATGGCGCCGGTGCCTCTGTTGGGGAGCTCTCATCCTCGAACCAGATGCTTTTCCTCCGGATTTTGGACTGGCTTCCTCCTGGAGTATCTCCGGCATCAGTTGTTGAGCTCCGCCCCGTGTGGTCCTTAAAGTTCTCGGAGTCCTTGTAGTCCTTGGTGCGCTTGTGGGGCCGATCCATTGCGGCCACAGGCTCCTTTGCTTTCTCACGAGGCTCGTTCCTTGGCTCCTTGTGTTTCTGTGCCAGCAGCCGCCCTATGGAGCCCTTGGGCATGCGGTGCGCGCGTAGTCTGTCCACGGCACCCCTTTCATTGTCACTTGGGGCTTCACGTCCGGCGGTACCTGCTGCACCTGTAACCGGGCTGGAAGAGGGAGCATCCGCCACTGAGCCAGTAGTTGGTGTGGCTGTCGAGGTCATTGCTTTCTGACGATCTTTGGCCCTCACTTTCGGTTTGGGGGGCAGCGTTGGCAATCTCCACCCCTCTTTCGCCACTGCGGAGGTAGCTTCCTCCGTGTGCCGTTGCGGAGGACCACCATCATCCTTTGCCCCTGCCCGGACCGCCCCTTTGGCTAAGCAGGTCTTTCGACTTGGTGGCGAGCTTCCAGTCACGGTTCCAGTCACTCCAGTTCTAACTTCTCTTGATCTCTCAAGGAGCTCAGGTGGAGTTCCAGGTGCGCCTCGTTCTAGCAGCTCTGGAGGGGTGCTCGGCGGGGTCCTCTCCGTAGGCGGCGTTCTCGGAGACGGGATCCTTGGCGAAGGAGAGGATGCCCGGTATCCCGGGGGTGGCCCGTTCGGCTCTCTTGGGCGAAGGTGTCCTTGAGGCTCCTCACAATCCGCAGTCCATGACCATGAGCGGTGGTGCTGCTGACGTTCTTGTCGCCATGGGGCATTTAGGATGCCCTTGCCCTTGCTCCGAGATCCTGTAGAGCGTCCTCTGTGACCTTTCGCACCTTTGGAAGCACCGCGACCACGCCCTCCTTTGGAAAACCATTGGCCAGACTCTTTGAGCCATTGTCTAGTGTTCTTGTCTGGTCTGGCAGCTTCGCGTAGGTAATCTCGTGGCGTCTTTTCACGCATGTCACTGGGCCAGCTCTGCCATGGGGTGGTCCGCAGCTTTACCCTTCGTACTTCGTCAGCAGTGAGCCACATGTTGCGAGTGGCAAGCTTTTGCTGGCATGCAGCTTTCACACAGAGGCTGTCACCTGTCACAACCCGGAAGTGAGGTCTTGCATTGGCCTGGCTGCCCCAGGATGGGAAATTTATGACGGGTATGAGTTGGGTGCAATCCCCGGCTAGAGGATCCAACTGCGCCAAAGATAACCAAAGGTAGAAGAGTGAATCCAGATCAACAAGGGCATGTGACTTCCCAAACAGCATACCCCTACCCTGGCAAAACAGACTATGGGCTCCCCAGTGTCCTGCGATTGCACCGGGGTTTTGGTGTCGCTGCAGCAGGCTGTCCGCGGCCTGGCTGGACAAAGGGCTGTGACACCACAACGGAGGGGGACCTCTCGCTATGACTGAAGTTTCGTGACGGGGCTGGGCATTGTCGGAGGGGAACCTCCAACCGGCACTCCCTACGACTTTGATGCACAGCATCAACAAACCCTCCAATCCTAAGAGCCGGTGGCCTGCCGCCGCAGTCGTTGCCTGGTCTGGCTGATTGAGCTGTCCGGGAATAGGACGCGATGCGGCATGGGCAAGCCGGTGACTCTGCCAACTGAGAACATCTAAACGGCCCGTGTGCTTTGACAGTAAGGGTGAGGGGGGGGAGCAACACGAGCACCACAACCTACAGCCTACCTCTTTGACACTGTCAGCGGTGTACAGGCCCTCAGCGGGGAGGCGCACTGCCACAGGCACCGGAGGGGCACCTCCGTGGCTGGTGCTGCAGCCGGCAGTCCTGCAAGATGCCAAGGTGGGTAGGTCAACGGGGTTGCATCTGCCACGGTGACTGAAGTAGGTTGTGCAGGCCAGAGACAATGCATATGCTGGAAGAAACTCAGCCGCAACCTCTGGACACCAGTGACCTTCGACCTCTCTGCAAACCAACATCATACAGGGGTCACCTAGGGTGGAGGGTAAGGACTCAGAGGAAAGATGTAGATCAAGCCATGCAAAGTTCATCCTGAGACTCCCTGGGCAGAACCCCATGTACTCCAGATCGGTGCTGCTGGTGTCACTGTCTTCATTGACTGAAGCCGCAGCCGAAGC